CGCGCGTGCAGCGAGAGCAATGAGTGCTGCCACCCCGAGTGCCTGGGCAGCTGCAGCGCGCCCGACAACGACACGGCCTGCGTGGCCTGTCGCCACTACTACTACGCCGGCGTCTGCGTGCCCACCTGCCCACCCAACACCTACCGCTTCGAGGGCTGGCGCTGCGTGGACCGCGACTTCTGCGCCAACATCCCCAGCGCCGAGGGCAGCGACTCCGAGGGCTTCGTGATCCACGACGGCGAGTGCATGCAGGAGTGCCCGTCGGGCTTCATCCGCAACGGCAGCCAGAGGTCGGTCAGGGTCGTAGTGCAGCCCGCGGTGCTTGCCCTGGGGAAGGACCAGCGGGGGAGTGGGGGAGGCGGGGGGAAGGGACGCGGGTCTGCGTGAGCGCGCTGCCCTAACTTAAAGTTTTTATCAGCGTCTGGGGACATCTCGCAGGTTTATTTCAGTTTGTTTTATGGTTTGTTTTGGAAGTGTGCTTCCCGGCCATTTGAACGGAGGTGTTTGACTGCTCAGCAGTCACTGTCTCCCTGCGCACCTGGTGGGCTGCCATCCAAGCGGGAGACGATACAGGGCACTGTACGTTTAGGTTTTCCCACCCCTGGTGCTGGTCAGCCCTAGCCCAGGGAAGGCTCCGGGAATGCAAGCGACAAGACAGAGAAGCTGGGCCAGCATCCTCAGGCCCCCTCCCCCATGCCTGGGCCTGAACCAGGTGCTGCTAAGAACGGAGCAAGTAGCATAAAGGAACCTACGCTTTCCCTCTCCTCTCTCCCTGCTCCCACCTTCACAGCAACCCCAACCCCATTTTCTCTCTCTCATTTACCTTCCTGAATGTTAAGACTTCACTTAGGAAAGAAAGAAATTCCTTGTAGCAAATGGCACCCCACTTGTGTATGGCAACCAGACTTCCGTAAATGTGTTGTTGGTTTATGTTTTTGAAAAAGCAAAGCTAACATTGTTGCACCATATAGGACTACAATCCTGGAAAGCAAAGGTTAGAGAGGGGCTACTGTTCCCTTCTCTGGAGCAGACAACTTTTAGGGAAGAGTTAAGCCCGTTTTAATGGGCCCAATGCGTCCTTCCTTATTAGCACCAGGGAAACTTTTATGTTCCTGGGTTCTTCAGATATATTCTACAAGTATAAAATACCATTAGAAAAGTAAACAAGTTTGAATTCAATGTCACTTATTTGCTTTTGGCTGCAGTCTGTTTCTGTAAACCGCATCAAGTAAGCCTTCATATAGGAGATTCTATTTCCATTCTAATATTGGAAGATGTTGCTTATACCATAGGCTTACCTTCAAACCAAAGAGAAAACTCACATTATTTCATGAAGTTAGATGTAGAACATTTGGCCTGTTATAATTTCTATAACCATCATAATAGAAAAATTACCCTAAATACTTTAAAATGGTCTATGTGCCAAGAATTCCAACGAACTGTACAATATACATGCTCCACCTAAAATAAGCTTACTACATTTTACTCACGTTTATATTGGCAGCTTGAGAAGTTAAGAGGGCTTTCCTAATGACCTGGACATGGCCTGGAACCCAGGTGAAGCTCAGCCTCAGCCCCTTCTCAGGGAGAGAGCAGAAATGGGGCCGCTGGTACTTGGACTGGGGGGAATGCCATCTTTGCCTGTAGATGTATTTTCCTATGATAAAGTGAGCAATGAACATTTTGACAGTGTTGTTTTTCCCAGTGCCGTGCATTTTTCAAAGAGCTGAGCTATTATTTTTCCTACCCATTCTTACAGTCTGTTCAGAGCCACAGATATACCTTTCCCATTTTAAAATAAAAAGCCATCAAGAAAGAATAATTCCCCCCTCTCAGCCTTTAAGGCATATTTGGTACTTAGTTTAAAATGTTTATTTTTTAATACTGTTTATACCTTCTCTGTACCAGAATGGATTTATAGAAGCTTAATCTATAAACATGTCATCAGAGCACTTCCTTAGAAAAACATTTTTAAGTGCTTGATCATTCCTAGACATTTTACGAAAGGTGTTTGGTTCATATATCGCTATTTGAATAAAAGCTCAGGAAGAATTAAACATACACTTACCACATGACCCAGAAGTTACACTCCTGAACATTCATCCCTGATAAATGAAAACATATATCCACATAAAAACGTGTACGCAAATGTTCATAGCAGCTTTATTTGTGATAGCCCAAAGCTGGAAATGACTCCGGTGTCCCACAGTGTGTAAATGGCTGAGCGAAACACTGGTACTGCCACACCGTGGAATACTATTCAGCAATAAAAAGGAAAAAATATCAGAATACACAACTTGAATGGATTTCAAGGGCATTACATGTGTAGGAAAAAGCCAATCTCAAAAGGTTACATTTATATACATTTCATTTATGTAACATTCTCAAAATGACAAAATTATAGTAATGAAAAACAGATTAGTGGTCACCAGGATAGAGTTAGGGATAAGGGATGGGGTGACTATATAGGAGATCTTTGTGGACCGCTTCTGTATCTTGATTGCAGTGGTGGTCACATAAGTGATAAGAGATAGAGAATTATACACATATATTATACTGGTGTTAATCTCCTGGTTTTGATACTGCATTATCATTACATAAGATGTAGCCATTGGAGATAGTGGTTGAAGGGCACATGGGACTTTTCTGTACCCTTGGAAACTTTTTGTGTATCTACATTTCAAAATAAGTCTTTAAAAAGGAGGGTGGGGGTATTAGATGTTACATAGGTAAATTAGAAGCAATAACAGACTAATAAAAAGTGCTGAAAGAGAGCTACTACCAATGCTAGAAATCAGAATTCTGAATGTGACGTCAGAGGAAGGAGAAATCTCCCTTCCTATGCTTGGCCCAGTCTCTTTGGGAATCCTGCCTGGCATTCTCTAGACATGAAATAGCAAAATAGCAGGAAAATTTTGTTTACCTGTAAACTTTTAAAGAAAGCCAAACCCTGCATTTTGTTTGGCCTTAGATATGCACAAAAATTCCAGGAAAAAAAGGGGGACCTTTTATGAAAAGAGCTAACTTACACTGTTTTCTTGAGTGTTTTCTACTTATCTTCACAAAGTTTGAAAGGTCATTCAAGAACAATAACATAAACATAGAGGCTCTTGCCAACTCACTATCCTATTACACACACATCCCCTAATGTTGCATAATTTATTTTGTTTGGAAATCAACCCAGCTTTCTGATTCTTGGTCTGTGGTTTAGCAGCTGGATTAGCATTTTGTCTGCTATTTTCTAAATAATGGTCGGTCAGCAAGAAAAGCACCTGTGTCTCCCTCACTGGCCCCTGATTCTTGGTTGCAGCATATTGGGGACAGCCTTTGAAAGAGGAGCTTGTTACAAGGTTGCAGAAGTTCTTGCTTTCTTTGTGTATGCAGCAACAACATTTGGATCAACTTACAAATTTCTACAAAACACGGTCACAAAATAACTTCAGTTGTGCTTTAGCAAGAAAACAATCGTTCTTTGCTCTTCCACATGCCTTTCAGAATCCCTCACTGGGCTTTTTTAGGATACCGGCTGCAGGAGTTAGACTCCTGTTAGTGTCAGGAGACACCATTCTCTAGGCATGAAATAGGAAAATACCAGGAAAATTTTGTTTATGTATCAGCTTTTAAAGAAAGCCAAACCCTGCTATCCCTTTTCTGTCCCTGGCCGCTATCCCAGCGGATCCTCCAGGGTGCACCAGGCGGGCCATGACATCCGAGTGCAGCCCATTCTTCTCAGGAGCCACCAACACTTCCTTTGTGCTAGGCTGTTTCTCCCACATGGAACCAGCTGGCTCACCAGCCGACAGCCTATGACACACACATGCCTCAAGGATGTTTCACATATTTTGTCTGGAAACAAGCAGCACGCTTTCCTTGCTGGTACTTTCTCCTTCTGGTTGCAGTTGGAGTAGCTTATCCTTGGGTGGGCTTGGAGATGAGGTACAGTGTGGTGACCACTTGAACGCTTCACAACGGTTGCTCTTTGTAAAGTGTACTATAAAAACAACTAGGATATAAGCCTATCTTTAAGGGTTTTTAATGCAAGGTGACAGACTTAGTTCTCTGTGTTTTTGGTTGGTTCTTTATCTTCAACAGCATGTACTGCATCCCTTGCGAAGGTCCTTGCCCCAAAGTCTGTGAGGAAGAGAAGAAAACAAAGACCATCGATTCTGTTACTTCTGCTCAAATGCTCCAAGGATGCACTATCTTCAAGGGAAATTTGCTCATTAATATCCGACGAGGCAGTAAGTATCCCGTCCCCTTGAAAGATGGCAGGATCTCTCTCTTCCTTTGATGAGGCTTCTCCTACCCATCCATGACTCACGACTAAAACACGGGCCTAGAAAAACAACATGGTGTGAGCACCTCTCATCTGAGTTTCACCCAAAGATAAACAATGGATTGACCGGCTGGTTTTAAGCCATTGGCACAGTGTTTATTCCTGCAGAGGACCATCCCTCAACTTTTTGTTAGTGGCATCTTAGGCAGGAGACACATGTCCCAACACACACACAAATCCCAGAAGAGTGTGATGGATGAGAGGTATGACTCAGCAGTCTCCAGTTAAAGCCAGATCTGCACAGTTTTAGGTCCAAAGAGTTGTGGTTATTTGACTGTATTGAGGAGACTGAGCAAAAAGAAGAGTTTAATGATGTCACTTTAGAATCTTTTCCAGTCCAAAGGATGGTTAATCTCCAAATTTACTTGTGAGAGCCAATAAGATACAAGTAGGTGTCATCATTCACTTAAATCTTCCATCTCCCTCTCTCAGGATCACCGTCATTTATAGTACGTGGCATTCCTGACGATTGCATGTGCGCAAAGCATTTCTCGTGGACTTAGTCTTGTTTATTTTCACTTCTGATCTTTAATTGGCAATGGCTTCTAGTAGTGGTGTTTTGCATACTCCACCACCAGGACCACTTGGTCAAGGTACTGACAATCTCATAAGCTGGAACAAAAAGAGGGAGACAACGTGTGGTTGAAAGGAATTTTTTTTTTCTAAATCCTTTTGTGAAGGCGTTTTTTTTTTCTAGTTTGAGGAAAAAAGCAACTGAATTATTTGTGAGTTGACTTTTCCTTAATACTCATGTGTTTAAATGAGTGAATTATATATTCTTAGGATTTAGAAGTGACAGAAATAAGTTTTTGCTTAGTCCTTTTGAAGAGATTCCTTGTTTTGCACAACACCTTTCACCCCTCTACCACAGAGATAACTTTTTCTCCACTCAGCTGGAATTTTCTTACCCTTGTGGTGCTTCTAGAGTTTTCTCTTCTTTGCTCTTACTCTTTTCCTTAATTTTTAAAAAAGATTTCCTCATCCTGGGGGATCCCCCTAAAGCAACTAATCCATCTTTTATGTTTTAAATCTTTATCTCCTGAAGCCAAAAAATTTAATCTATGAATTAAATACATGAAGTATGATTTGAGAAGGAATTGGTTTATAGTCATGCATGATGATGAAATGTATCTTCAGTTTCTGTCCAACGCAGGAAAGCAGTTGGATTTAGTGCAACAGGACATCTCATTTGAAAGGACATTCCCAGCCATAACTGAAAGGCATGCATCTAGCCCCACATTTAAAATTCAACATCTTTCCCTTGAAATATCATCGCAGGTAACCTCCACAATCTCTAGTCTTCCTTCTCCTATCCCCCTTTGGCAACCTCTAGTCTTTACAGCTTGAATTTCTCTTGGAAGACTATTGAACTGTACATTAAATGTAGGGCCTTGCCTCAAACAGTACCCTTATTCTTTTGTTGTTATCAATTAAAGCAGAAGAGAACCTTTCATTAAATAAGTCTTCACAAATCATATGCAGTGGTGTCCCATTAGTTGAACCACACCCAATTCATTATAGTATTTATCATAATTTTGGCAAAAGTTGAATGTAAGTCTCTTTATTGACTGTAAGCAAAAGAGAGGATAAAGAGGATAAAGGGAAATACACTGTTCATTATCTTGTTTTTATATGGGTATCAGCAACTTTTTTCTAGTTATAAAAATACATATTCATTAAAGACAACTTAGAAGCACAGAAGTGAATTTTTAAAAATCACCTGCAGATAACCATCATTAACATTTTGGTATGTTTTCTTCCAGTCATAGTAAGATAGGATCTTTAAATATAGATCCCTGTATCTTAGGAACTAGAAACACAGCAAAGGCAGTTCCTAATGAGACTGAGAAAATACTGTTTGTTTAGTCATGCCCTTGTACTGTGGAGGCAGTGCTGTCTGTTGACAGAGCATGTTAAAAACGTTCCCTGGAGTTGTCAGCCCTAGCTAATTGGCGGTATAGTATTTATGGTTTTACTTCTGTTAATCAGCCTGGGATCTGTAGCATGCAGCCTTCTAGAAACTCCCCTTCCCATGCCTTGGGGGTCCTGTCCCAGGAGAGGTTGTTGGAAGTCAGGCTTGGGAAGTACATTCTTGGCAAGGGACGGTGGGTCCTATACCAGCAGCCAGAGCATCTCACCGGCACCATGAAACAAGGCCTGCATGGAATCACTCTCTACAAGTGTTTGTGAGAAACCAAGTGTGACGCCCTCATGCTAAGTGAACACTCACTAACACAGTCCCCTCTTAATGTAGATAACATAGCCTCGGAGCTGGAGAACTTCATGGGGCTCATTGAGGTGGTGACAGGCTACGTGAAGATCCGCCATTCCCACGCCTTGGTCTCTTTGTCCTTCCTAAAAAACCTTCGCCAAATCTTAGGAGAGGAGCAGCTAGAGGGGTAAGTGCTCCAAATTTCATGAACTGATATTATTCCTGTTAAAAATACATAGGGTGCTTTTAAAATGAGACATTACTAAGGTAAGAGCCCTTTCTTGTTAACAAGCAGAAAGGAAGAAGCTACGGTCAGGCCAGGACCCCTGAGTGCCAGCCACCCTGCTGGGCAAGAGTCTCACGCAGTCAGTCGTGACTTTCCACCCTTAGGGCATTGCTGTTTTGGAGAACTGGTGTTGTGACCCATCTGTCAAGGGCTCTGAAACCACAGACAGGTTTGCTGTTGCGGGCACTTTGTGCCAAAAGCAACAGGAATCAGTCTGAGGTGCTTAAGCTCAATCATTTGTGTGACCCTCATCTGCCTCAGGATGCCATGCTATACTGTGTAAAAGCTAGTCTGTATTTTTAAAATATGTTGGAACGTAAGAGATTTGGAGAAGTGTGGGCAGTTCATTTTGTTATAAAGAAATCTAGACTCACAAAATTTTTATATTGATTAGCTTATAGGATTTGCCTTACTGGTAGACTTTTCACCTTCTGCAGAGGTGTGCTTTGTGGTAGGGTTTTAAAATAGCTGGAGGGCTTACACCAGAGGATAAATAAAAGCTGGAGCTTATTTCCCTGCAGCTTCTTTCCAGCAGCTAGCCTCTGTGTACCTTTGCATATATACTTTTCTCATCATAGGAACCTTTTAAATGCAGCTCTGGCTTGTCTTTAAGCAAATGCTTTGAAATAAAAGGAGACATCCAGTAATGAGAGAATTCCTTCCAAAGAGAATTTAGGGAAATAATTTAGGAAAGAAAGAGGTGGGAAGGTCATGGGAAAGGTTTTCCTTGCTGATTTATCTGCCCCAACTGGATAAAGTTACCGCATAAGGGTTTCTTTACAGCCTCCCTGCTTTTCTCAGACTAACTCTTGGTTAGTCTGAAATTCTTAAAATTCCACCATCTGATACGCCAAAGAGAGAGGGCAGCTCTTCATTCCATCCTTGAAAAGCAAACTGTCCTCGCCACTGGGAACACTGATTCTTTAGCAAAAGCTTCTCCTTGCAAACCCAAGGAGACCACCCTTGTCCCCGAACTCAGAGTGTCCCAGGTCACTTCGGTAGCAAGCTAGGGCTCTGCCATTTTGAGGTGGTGGTTCTTGGGTGTTGTATTAAATTTTAAACTGAATTTTAGCATAGCTTTTTTTTTTCCCTCCAAGTAGGTTTGTGGAATCCCTGGTGTTGGTGAACACTTTTCTTTGGCAGATTTTATCTGCAAGCGTTCCTGTTCTGCTACTTAGCGATACATACCCCCCACCCCTCACCCAGGCCGAGCAGGTGATGGACATAAAGGGGAAAGCTAAGAGGAAGGTCTAATTTTCATTAGGAATTGTTACATGATGTGATCACCTTGTCGTTGTGTGTTAACTAAAAATACTACGTGCTTACGTGTAGCTGAAAACTTAAACTTGATATTTATTTGCAAGAGTATTTATGACGTATTTCTTATTACCTGAAATGTGGTTAAAACCTGAAATCCCAGTGGGATCTCTTTAAAGATGTGTGTCGTTGCTCAGGTGTGTAGGACACTTTCAAGTTCAGGTAAGCTCCAGGTGCCCACCCAGCTATTAGCGTTTCAGATGACAGGGGAGGGCGGATGGGCCTCAGGTGTTCACAGCCTGTACTTGGTCACTAGCCTCTGTAGCTGAGGACCTGGACTTCCAGCCTGTTGTTCTTACGTGCTGCTTCTTGGAGGTGCTCTCTTTAGCTAAGCGTGCTTGAGAACCTCTCCTGTCTCGACGGGAGTCGGGTTCTCGTTCCTCACCCATGACCAGAAAGGCACAGGTCATCTTCATCCGCACAGCTATCTTTTGCATTGGGTGTGACCAGCAGCACCCACACATTTCTTTATTTCTCCTCCTCAGACTTAGGAAGAGAGAGAGGTCCAGCTCCTTCACCCACAGCCCTTACTCCTGCAAGCAGGGAAGAGTCAGAGAGATCAATGCCCACAGGGCAAAGCAGAACTTGCAAGGTGCTATGAGGGAAATGAAAGGAATGTGCCATGGGCATGAAAAAGAGTCAGATATCTGATTAAGAAGATCAGACGGCTTCTGAGAAGTAGCCCTTGAGATGGGCCTCAAAGCGTTTCCAGAAACACTCAGAGAGCCATGGTGAAGAAAGGTGGTTCAGGGTAGGATGGCAGGGGCAGAGGCAACGAGTTGGGGCATCCTCAGACATGTTTGCAAATAGCGCTGGAGAGGTAGGTGGTATTAGAATTACGTAAGGTGTTTTGCACCCAGGGGTGGAGGTTATAATTTAGGGAAGCAATGGGACATATTCAAGGCTTTTGAGTTAGAGGAGTGTCAGCAAAGCTGTCTGGAAATTTACTTTCTGGGCATTACATTCCTGTGTGCTTTTGGTTTAAACCAAGATAAGGGTGTATTCCAGTGGTTCCCAAATTTTGCTGCACACAAGAACCATCTTGGGGGCTCTTTAAAAACCCTGATACCCACTCTCCCAATTCAATCAGAATGTTTGGGGTGAGAGCCAGATGTCAGTGCTTTCTAAAGATCCCGAGTGCTCTCAGGGGGCAGCTAAGATTGGCTAATGCTACTATATCCCCTTATTTCTTCTTCTCATATGCAAATCCCAAAAGCAATTTGATTTGTTTTTCCCTAAATATTTGGTTGTCATCTTGTTGCCTTAAGTACTATTTTTCCTGAACCTCTCATAGCCAATGAGAACATAAGTGCTTCCATTTGTGTCATTGGATGAAAGCTTTGCAACCTTTTGATGAAGAGCAAACTCACAGTGCAGAGGCCCTTCATATGTGACAACAGTGACTTTCCAAACTGGACCTGAGATCGGCCCCCAAAGTCTCCTGCGAGCCCAGACCATTAAGTCAACTCCAGCACATGAAATTCAAGTGTTTTCCTGGAGTGCAGCTCTTGATCTATACTCAGAGGGAGCCAATTTTGTAATCTGATTTCCTAGCTGGTGACAGGTACAGGCAGAGTCATGTCTGCACAGACAGCAGGACAGCATCAGGTGGGCCTCCGCTTGTCTAGAACTCAGACGGCCAGGGGTCCCGGACATCACTCACTGCTGTGGTATCGTGTGTTTCTTGAATACTAACTGTGGACATGAAGTAAATCGAGCTCTGTCTGCTATTTAACAAGGAAATGAATTTTGTCATTCACACATACAAGATTTCTGAGAAATGGCTAATTCTTAAGCCTTTGAATGAGAACAGGAATATTTCTGTAATCAGGATAATTCCTTTATTTGGATAACCTTATTTTCAGATGGCATCAGATAAATATAAGTTTCAGATTTCTTGGTGCCACCAAGGATTGTTGCCTTTAAAAGAATAAAAGTAGGTGCAGATGGTGGATTATGAAAACTAAAAATCTTGGATGCATTTCAGCACCTCTATGTACATGTCCCCACCACCTGGCTTTGTAGTGCTCAGTCTGTCATTCTACCTTCTTCCATCTCTAAGATTAGGCTGCATCAGGGCTGGACTGTAACACTTCTGTGGGACTTATAAAAAAATACACTCAAATAGGTGACTCAGCAGTTCCAGACTCTACCTTGTATCTACTCAAGAGAAGTGAAAACATGCCCACACAGGACTTGTATGTGAATGTTCATAGTAGTATTATTCATGGTAGTCCACACCAAAAAGAAAAAAGAAAAACACTGGAAATAATCCAAATGTCCATTAAAGGGTAAATGGATAAACAAAATGTGGCATGATGGAATACTAGTCACCAATAATGTAGCAAAGTGGATGAACCTCAAAAACATGAAGTTTAGTGGGTAAAAAAAGCCAGACACAAAATGCACATTCTATGATTCCGTCAATGTGAAATTTCCAGTAAAGTCAGTGCTGTGATGACAGACAGCAGATCGGTGACCACCATCAGCAGTGAAGAGACTTCAGTGTGATGGAATTGTCCTGAAACTGCATAGTGGTGGTGATTGGACACTGTCTAAATTCACTGAGCTCATGGAACTATACATGTATAAGGGGTACACATTTTGGGGTAGGTAAATTATACCTCAATAAAGCTATGTTAAAAAGCATGCAAAGAGGAAACATTTTCTATTTAGTGCCTAGTGCTGTTTGAATATAAATTCTCACTCTTGCTAAACCCCCAAGGTTGGTATAAAGGTTGGATCTGGGGGAGATTGGATGTGGTGTGAAGCAGCCCGTGGCACATGGATTGGAGGCAGCATCTCTGAAAAGGCCAAGTCCTGTATCCGTCACAGATCGCCGGATGCTGGAGAAAGCCCCCATGTGCTGGGTTCTGAGGCCCCCTAGAGACCGCCGGAAAGAGGCCGTGGTTTCTGCTCTGCGGAATGAAAGGGAATAATGGGTTGTGTACTTGTGGTTTGTTTTTTTTTTCAATTTGTCAGCAAGGCCTGAGAAAATATCCTTCCTACCTCTGTAAACGGGGGACTAACCCTCAGCCCCATTTGTCCCAGCCTCAGAGAGGCTGAATAAATACTTTGCCTAGAGTTGTTTAGTAAGTGGTGGTGATGATGCGTAGATCCTGATGCTTAGATTCGCAAAAGATCCAAACCTTGGACCCAGGGCAACCTTCTAAGTACCACCCCGTCCTTCCTGCCCTGCATGGGAGCCAGCAAGGAGGTGGTGATGTTGATAACTCCGAGGTAAGACAGCCCCCAGACTGGAACCATAAATAAAGCACTTGATTGTGTAATACGTGCTGGGCATTTAGAATATCAATACAGATAATATATAGATGTCCTCAAGGAGATAGCCAACTGCTTCCGGCCTCTGTCAGTTTTCCTATAATTTGGCAGATGAGGCCTACCCAAATACAGAAACAAACCTTTTTTTTTTTTTTTTGCAACATTTAGAAGGCCAGGAACCAAGACATCAGATTTTATAAAATCCAGGCATCATGGGGCCTGTGTAAACTACAGTAAAATAAACAACTTAATCTTTAAAAACATTCTTTGAATGTAAAGGCAGTAAGCTTAGAAACAATTAAGGAATCATATTTACTGAGTAATTGACTTAAATAGCTGTTTCTTTTAGGAAACAATGAAAATCAAGTGTATGTATTGAAGAATACAGACAAGCCTCCCTTTTACCGTCTCTTAATTCTCACCTAGTCGTGGAAAGAATTTGGGGGGAGCTGGGCCCCAAGCTGGGGTTGGAAAAACAAGAGCAGCCTTGACAGACAGCTCATGAATGGCTTGATTATTATTTTGAGGAAGGTTTTATTTTTATTTTTCTGTCACTTACACAGGCTCCATAATGCCTGGGCTGTATTGATTTTGGTGTCCCGGCTCCAGGCGTTCTCAGTATTGTAAAAAAATGTTTGTGTTTACTGTAAAAAGATAATCTTGCTTTTCAAAGTGATTAATCACATACACAGAATTTCAGTGCACCTGCCATTCATTTGTCAAATTCCTGATTTATAATGCGTGCTTCCTCCCTGGGGAGAAACATGTTTTGTTCGGAAGGTATTTTTGGTGTGGTTCTGTTCCCTGCTAGTGAAATTAGTTTACTAAAAAGAGCCTCATCCTGGGGCTGAGACAGACGTTTGACCTTGTTAATTGGCCCTTGTTCTCAGTACAGAGGTTTCTGCACCAGCAAGATTTTTGTCCCATGTGGTCAACTCAGAAACCAGGGAGCAGCCAGACCCACTGGAGTTGATATTGACACTGCAGAGGTGTCTTCTGAGGTGGGAATATTCTCTGGGCAAGAATGCGCCTATAACAGGAAGCAGGTGTTTCTACCTGTACACCCCCCCTCCTTCATTTCTGTACTGCATGAATCCCGCAGCCTGGCAGCAGGTAGATGTGGGCAGGCGCTGTCCCAAGGGACAGAAGATCTCACCTTGCCATGTCCCAGTGCTTGCCACCTGCGCACACGACCTCATGTTGCAGACTCCACAGCTAGGTTCATCTGGATGACGTCTTAGGTTCCTCCTCCAGCAGGTGTGTGTGTTAGGGAGTGGGCTCTCAACTGAAAACAAAGGGTTGTTTACTAGCAAGCTTTTGCCCCCTGGTTGGGTGGCCATGAAGGTGTCAGGACGCTTCGCATGGGTTTGCAAGGAGCCTGGCCTGGCTTCAGAGGTGCTGCGTTTGGATTCACTGAACCCTGTGCAGGCAGGCCTCCCACCTACCCTCTGGCTCATGTGTGGAAGGGGCCCAGTGCTAGTGCAGGGGTTGGGCTTCTGGTTGGTGGGGCAAGTTCTGCCTCAGCTCTATGACTACCCCTGGGCCTTAGGGACTTGACTCTTAGATCTGACAGGGAGCTCAGATGACGCCTGTCATGCCCCTTGTTGTCCTGTGAGTGAGTAAACAGGGCTGCAGAAAGCACAGAGTGACCTGCCCATGGCCGTGCAGCTCATTAATGACATTTCTAGTGCTGTATTCCTGTCTCTGAAGTCCCTTGTGAATTCCCAGGAAATGTCACGGGTCTGCTTGGCAGCTTTGTAACCATAACTTCTGCATTGCTGTAAGCGAATGAGCTTAGGCTGAGGATTGGCCAGGTGGGTAGAGGTCCTGGTATGCTGTAAGTGAAGAACCTCACCAGGTGCAGAGAGGACACAGCCCACAGATCAGAGGAGGGCTTTGAGCTTCTGTCCTTTGGGCTTCTGCCTTGGCTATCCTAGCTCTGGAAAAGGAGCCAGGATCCTTTCTTCTCTGCCGTTTGCATGTTGGATCTGTGAGTGGATCTTAGAAATGGCGCAAAGTACGGCACCACTTTCTAGACTCAGTTTTGCATCAAAGTTCGTGAGTTCCAGAAAGAAACAGGCTAGGGAGCAGGAGGGGAAGGATTCAGGGTCTGCAGGGGACAGACCTTTCAGCACAGAAGACTCAGTCGGGCAGCTATCGCCCTGCCTGCCTGGTGTCTCAAGGCACCCAGTGAGAAAGGCATGCTACAAGGACTTTTCTCCAGACCCTCCGTGGTAGCCGTCTGCTCACTCGCCTCCCAGGGTATGGGTTTCTCTCTGGGTAGCCAGAGCTAGCTGTTCCCAATGCTGGCTGTCCCCCATTTCCCAGCAGTGGACAGCTGGGTCTGCTGCTTCTGTGTCCACCTACTGGGACAGGACCATGGCTGACTTGGTCAGCATTGGACTCTCAATGCCACTTTGATGCTCAGCCTGTTAGACCAGCACTTCTTCAAGCATGGTCCCAGTACCAACGGCAGGATCACCTGGGCACCAGTTACAAATGCAGATTCTCAGAACGCCCAGACCTGCTAATCAGAAGCCCAGGGATGGGGCCCCACACTTTGAAAACAGGCCCTCTCCACACTGAGCTTGTGCTGGGACACTGAGTCACTGTTACCTGGAGGGGTGGCCCAGCAGGACTGCCCATTGTGAGCTGTTTCTCCTCCACCACCTTCTCCAGGGACGGAAGCTGCAGCTTTTCTGGGCGGGGTGAATTGGGAGGAGGGAGCAGACTCAGGGCTGGTACCCCCGAATCTGTCTCCCCATCCCATTCTCCTAACCATCACATGCTGCTAGCAGCACAGATGGGATTTACCCCCAAGGATAATGGCAGACTTGCTACAGCAAATATGTAAGCTGTTCCGGTTGAGTAGCAGAGCATATCTGTTCACCCGTGGAATGATTTCAAGCCCATTATACATGCTGTGCTCTGAGAAAAGTGACCAAAGGCATTTCTAGGGAATGATTCCAGTAACATTCTCCCGTTGTGAGAAGCATTATTTGTTGGTAATAGCGGTCATAAAATTAATGAGCACCTTATCGATTTCAATACCCTGTCCTTTAATCTTACTGTTGCCATTGTTAACAGCAACTACTTGTCCTTATAGACTGGTAATAACTAGATTTCTTACTGGCAAAGGCAGTGTATTCTGGAGCCACTGGCAAAGAGGACCTGGGTTGGGTGGCCACCGGGCTAGAGTGGGTGATGACCCAGGGCCGGGGGGCTCATGTTGATTTCTGTGCTTCTAGGAATTACTCCTTCTACGTCCTAGACAACCAGAACTTGCAGCAGCTGTGGGACTGGGACCACCGCAACCTGACCATCAAAGCTGGGAAAATGTATTTCGCTTTCAATCCCAAGTTGTGTGTCTCAGAAATTTACCGCATGGAGGAAGTGACGGGAACAAAAGGGCGCCAGAGCAAAGGGGACATAAACACCAGGAACAATGGAGAGAGAGCCTCCTGTGAGTGGGCTCCCACGGCCGGGATGAATCAGACCCTCTTCTGATCTAGAATGGCAGCTTCCGCTTGTGGCCCCCTTCTTGTTTCACCTGGAGTGCCGCAACGCCCCCTTAAGGAGCACTTTGCTCGTACATGTACTGCAAAGTCGGGGGGCAGATGCATGACAAATTGATATTTGTACATTTCCCTTGGCATCAATAGGAGTGTGCTAATCATTTGCAAATAGGCTCTTACTTGGATTTTGAAGAAGTGCCTACAGAAAGCACAGGGGTAAATGTCTTTTGATGCACAGGCATACAATGAGATTATTTTTCAAGAAAGAGCTGGTCCTCTGCAGCCCTGAAAGGGGCCGAGCTCGGCCTTCTGTCCCACAGAGTGTTGGGGAGGCCTGAGGGTGGGGGGCTCAGCTATAAGCACAGCCCCTGTGGCCCTGACTCTTGGCCTCCTCCTTTCTCCCACCCCAATGTGAAAAAGATGGAGAGAGGCCTCCTCCTTGAATGGACATTGCTTTTTCAGTTCAGAACAATATAATCATAACCTTGGACTGGTTATACAACTTTTACTTAAAGGTCTTGTATCTGAGATACAAGGGTGCATCTCTCATCTAACCCTCTATATAAAACTGCTTTAAAAAAATGTTGTGGTTCTGTTTGAATGGATAAGGTTATAAAAGTAAATTGTCTACCACCACTGGCTTTTAATAAGGGTATTAGAAAAAAATATGATGAGAGTGATTTGCATACACACACGTGCTCACACACACATGGAAAAGGAGCAGCATTTGACTTTGATTTGTCATGCTGGGGTCTGGACTTACCTGGGAGGCACCAAAATTGCTCAGGAAGAGTTTTTCTGGGTGAAGAAACCTGACACAAGGCTGGAGAGTGCATTTGCCACCTGTCGCTCTCCCCTTAGCACCCCAGCCACAGCCCTGCCATACTCCTGTTCAAAGCAGAAGCACGTGGACCAGAGCATTCTCAAAGTACTTTGCTTCTCACAGTCAGCCAGTCTGACCTGTCAGATCATGAATGCTGTAGCCACTCATTTTCCTTTGAAAACAAAATTACGTGTTCTCTCCAAATAACATTTTAGTAGGAATTGCTACATGTTTCTGATCTTGATCCAGCACATTCTGCCCCGTAGTTTTAACTGCCTTTCACCTCTCTGCCTCACCTGCTCAGTGTGCACTGTAATTCAGGCAAATGTGGGAGAAAAGGACAATTTGTAAGGGGCTCCACAGAGGTGAGGCAGTCATCAGTTCTTCCCTAGTTCTCATTGCAGTCTGAGTCTGGGCAGAGGAAGAAGTTGGGTCTGGGGACAGCATTCCTGCTCTACCTCACCAGCAAGGGCTTCCTTGCCACCGGGCACAGAAGGCTTCACCAAGTGCAGTTGTTCTTGTCGGTGCTCATTTCATTCCCTGCTGTATGTCAACACTCGCTGGAGGCCTCCAAGGACTTCCTGCATCCTTCCAGCTTAAGACCAAGTTTAGACTAAGAAAGGTTCCCCTCTGTGGCACACCTGCTCCATTACCTGTCTTCAGTGGTGGTACAGGGGCAGGCTGGCACCACAGTGGCAGAACAGGTGCCATCATGTCTACAGAGATCCAGCCCAGCTTAAAGGGCTGCTCCCCCTTCCCTGGGCCCCTTGGCATCCCACTTCCTAGGGATCAGCAGCGAGTCAGGCTACCTTGAGTCAGGCAGCCCTTTTCGTTCAGGTTAGGAACCTCTGAGTGCACGTTCAAGTCCAGTGCAACTAAGCCAAAGAATAAGCCCTTTGGAGCTCACAGAGCGAAATGTTTGGGTCCTTGTGGAAATATAAAAGCTACATTGAAGTCCAGAAAGGGCCTAAGCATGGAAGCCAGACTGAAGAAGTGGGAAATAGTGCAGAACAGGCCACTTCTCAGACATGGGGAGGAAAAGGATGTTGATCTCTGTCACTTATGGCTATGCCTCTGTGCCCCAGGTGAAAGTGATGTCCTGCACTTCACCTCCACCACCACCTGGAAGAACCGAATCATTATAACCTGGCACAGGTACCGGCCGCCTGACTACAGGGACCTCATCAGCTTCACCGTCTACTACAAGGAAGCGTGAGTTTCTGTGCTGGCTGGCATCCATCTGTTGGCCAGGCTGTGGGTGGGGAAGTGTGCTTATCCCATTCCCCTCTCTGGCTGTCACATGGTGTCCATCACTGCCGTGACAGCTACAAATGGGGAAGTGTTAGCTTGAAGCCTTTCATTCTTCAGTGGGCAATTAGAGGCATGTGAACAAAATAAATCCAAAGGGAAAAGCTTGTTTTTTAGGGAATTAGGCCAGTCCAAACATTCATAAACTGGGTGGAAGACATGGTTGAAGTACCATTTCATCCTTGGTGCCCACTAACCCATACTCCAGGAACATCCTGTTGGACGCTCGGCTGCCCTTACAGGGCCCCCCAGGCAGGCCCATCTTATTCCTGTCCCTCCATCCTGGGCCCCTCCCACGATGCCGCCCCTCAAGATCATCAGACCTCCACACAGGGAAAGGAGAAAGGAGAGAAATTGGCCTGCGTGTCTTGAACCGTTCCTGTGTTCTCTTAACGTCTACTGGGGGCTTTTCCTGTACCTTCATTTGCCTGCCTAAGCAGCCATGACCTCTCCTCCAAACAATCACTCATCCTGGTCTCCGTCTTCCTTCCTTTGCCTCATGTATCCAGCTGGTCCCTGAGTCAGCTTTGTCACCCTCCTCACCAGTCCCATCTCGATATCGTAGGGCTCTCGCCTGAGTGCCTGGCTTCTGCAGAGCTGGAACCAGAGCCACCAGTGGTGGTATCTGGTACCTTCCCCTGCTGAAGCCAGGGCCCTGGGGAAGGGTCAAAGCAATGAAAAAGCAGGCCTTGGGATTATCAGGCACTCAGTGTCCCTGGACAGCCCGCAGCTGTCCAGGCCTTTCATCTGATCAATTCAGAATCCCTACCCAACCATGCATATGTGCGAGATTCTCTATTCTCTTTGGTAGTCCTACAGTGCTTTGGCTGGCAGTTTTACCAGGCGTTGATGCTAGTTTCTGAGACAATCTGGAAACTAAATATTTGAGTCTTGTGAGATGTTTATACAATCAGAATTGTTTGTGAGCAAATTAGATTGTGGAAGCTGTGTTTTAGAAGCTGCTTTTCTGTAGCAAAGTCATTTTTCTCCAAAAGTTATTCCTTATCAATAGCTGATGTGTGCTTTAAATGACTAGGCTTATTTTTTTCTTACTGGTGAAAAAAATGCCACAGTCAGAAGAGAGAGGAAGAGCCCTTGCATGTATTTTTAAGGAGCAGTATTGTCAGTCCAGTAACTATAGCATTTACTCTTCCTGGGCAGAGTGTTCAATTCTGTAGTGCGTCCGGTTTTAATTTTATTCTTGTATAGAAATCTAATTGATCACTTGTTTCACTTAGAATCCCTAGTGTAGAAAGCATGATATGCTAGGCTCCTAGAGAAGGCATCTGAGAGCTTTGGCGTCACATCCCTGAAACATCCTCTGAGCTTTCCTGTCTGTCTTTCAGACCCTTTAAAAACGTTACAGAGTATGATGGGCAGGATGCCTGCGGCTCCAACAGCTGGAACATGGTGGACGTGGACCTCCCTCCCAACAAGGATATCGAGCCTGGCATTTTGCTGCATGGGCTGAAGCCCTGGACACAGTACGCTGTTTACGTCAAGGCTGTGACCCTCACCATGGTGGAGAACGACCACATCCGTGGGGCCAAGAGTGAAATCTTGTACATTCGCACCAATGCTTCAGGTACCGCATCCTGCCTCACCTCCCCATACTTCTTCAGGAGCTCACTGGACAGGCTCATTTCATAGTCATTGGGCAGAGATGGATGTGCCTAGTGTCTCTCTGTCCTGGACGGGTCTGTCTCTTATATGTCTTTCTTGTCAATATAGAATGCCACATCATATTCTTTTACCCACTCCCATTACCTAGGCCTTTCCTGGACTTGGCACCTGTACCTTCTTCAGCATACATCCTGATGGGGATTTTGTCTGCTCAGAAAAAAGAAGCCAGTGAGAGTGGAGATGAGAGCTCCCTTGTATGTTTTGATAGCTGACCCTCCAGGGAATAAAAACATGCTCATTGGTGCTCTGGTCACCTCAGGCAGCCCACGGGTCTTCCGTCTTCATTCTGTAGGGACGGGGGTTCTGAGGAGGTAGGCAGATGTTGGAAAACATCAAACATAGCATGTTATGGGTATTCAAAAGTATGAAAACAGTACTCCTTCTTTCTTCTGGTTCATTTTATCTACCATCTCATTTCTCAATTCCAGAATGAAATCAGTGATAGCAAACACTTGGGTTTATTTTCCAAGTGTATAAAAACCAGTTTAGGAGAAGGAACAGGCACGTCATTTTTAAAGACCATGATAAACATTCTTGGATGGTGACCGTTGTTATATAATGGGTAGGCTTTTTAGAACACCCATAAGCTGGCACAAAATAAGTTTAAATGGCACAGAGGGTGAGGAAAAAGTGTTGGTGGTGAAAACCTTTTGTGCACGCACACCTGCTTCCTCCTCCCCTGCCATGCCCCATCTCACTGATCCTGTAAGTGGCCACAAGCACGTCACTGACCCTAATGTGTTCATGGAGATAAATCTGGCACAGGCTTCTCTGATCCTAGGTGTGAGTTGGTGTGGCAGAGATGCCTACAACTTCAAAAGTTCCCCACAGTTCACTGTAGCCAGCTCAGGAAACACGGAAATCTTTCCTTATCATGACAAATTCTTAAGAAACCTATTTCCTTTCCCCCAAAGAAAGAAACAAAGCACTATACAAATCAAGTCAGTTTGCTACATTTTGACCCCGTCCTTACAATTGGTAGGGACAGAGAATAACTTGGTCCTTTGCTTTTTTGTGATGCTTCTCACTAAAACATCTAAGGGTAAGCTGTTTCTGAAATATTTATTTTTGGAAACTTGAAAGTAGTCAAGAATCTAGTAGTTATGTTTTCTCCAAAAAAAGCGAGCAGTAGTCATAGCTTTTCCCCAAAGTACGATTCCTTACAAGTGTTCAGAACTTTGTATATACTCTTTTGCCCCTGACTTCACCCTTAAACCATTTGTCCCTTTGAAATTTTAGAAACAGCCTGGATGAGACCATGCTGCTTAGGTGACATACATTGAGGTTGTCTCTTGTACTTTAGAAAACCCACTGAAATTGGTGTTTTCTTGTGAATCCAGGGAGAATAAGTTTTCAGTGGTCTTGGGATATAGTTGCCCTTTATACACAAGTCATCTCTGCACTTGGGTTTGGGAGCAGAGCAAGAAAAGTTTGACCAGGTTATCACGCTTCTTTGCCTGAAATCAATATTCTTTTGCTGGTAACAGAGTCCATTGCTTGAAATCATGGCTTTTTTATGTGTGTTTGAGGTGTTGGGCTGTCTAGGTCATGTCTTGGTCATTCCATTGACATGTAATTATAGAATGAGTAATCTCCCAGACCTTCTTTGGCTTCTTTGTCCAAGATGTAAATTCTCAGATGAAATGCTAGTCAGTCCATCTTATCACTTGCTGAAACTACTGGAGTTAAACATTTTGGAGAATGGCAGTTGTAATAAATGAGAAAAAAATGGTGTTTGAATTCCATTCTAACCCCAGTGTGCCCTCACAACCTTTTTCCATTTGCAGCTCATCCATGTTCATTTCCCAGAGATTACCTGAGAATAGATATTATGAAGGGAAATGTTGGCATTTAAATTAATACTATTTCAAAACAAGGTTCAGCTTTGCTTTTGCATTTCAGTATTCACTGCGATTTTCTTACCCAGGTCAAACTTTCAGCTTCTTGTTGGTTCACATTCAGTATCTGACAGCCTGGATCCCATTTTCTGTGATGTCCTTTTTTCCCCTTTCCAGTTCCTTCCATTCCCCTGGATGTTCTTTCTGCATCGAACTCCTCTTCTCAGTTAATTGTGAAGTGGAACCCGCCTTCTCTGCCCAATGGCAACCTGAGTTACTACATCGTGAGATGGCAGCGACAGCCCCAGGACAGCTACCTCTACCGGCACAATTACTGCTCCAAAGGTAAGGGTGGAAGGTGGGGCACCTATAACTGAACCACCCACAGTCTGAATATACCCACACCCCAACATCACATATATCATGTGACAGCATAAGCCCTTCGTTGGAAACCAGCTATGTTCTTGATCCAAATAATACTGATGGCTATTGTTTGTCCTCACAAGCATGTGTAACTGGGCTTTCATCTCCACTCTCATTGGGCTTCCTTTTTCTGAGCAGATAAAATCCCCATCAGGAAGTATGCCGACGGGACCATTGACATCGAAGAGGTGACAGAGAATCCCAAGACTGAAGTATGTGGTGGAGAGAAAGGGCCTTGCTGTGCTTGCCCCAAAACCGAAGCCGAGAAGCAGGCTGAGAAAGAGGAGGCTGAGTACCGCAAAGTCTTTGAGAATTTCCTGCACAACTCCATCTTTGTGCCCAGGTACCAGGGTCATTTGAAAATGTCTCTAGGCTGGTGCCCATCAGGCAGATTCTATTCCTTTCCCTCTCCCTGTGAGTCTGCAGTTCAGCAGCCTGAGGGCAGGACCCCGGAACCATCAAGGAGGGAGCAACAAAATAGGATATCAGTTTGGCCTAGTGGAGTTCCTGCAGGAGCTGGTTAGCCCTGAAGGAAAAGGGGCTCAGGGCTCATGCTTTTGGGGCCACTGGCACGATAGGTGCCACTGCCTCTCAGCCACACCGCCTTCCAAAGAGGGCAGTGGACGTGGGGGAGAGCAGTTCAGAGAGCTGCAGTCACCTGCCATGCTCCTGGAACCCAGGGAGCAGGAGAGCTGAGACGTGGACCCCTCTTGCCCTGCCCACTCCCCCTGCTGCTGCCCTCACCTGGCTGACGGGAAGTGAAGCAAGAGTGAGAAAACCAAAGTCAGTTTTGAGAGGGACCCCACTTCAAAATACCACCAAGTGCCATCAGCATCCTTGACAAGCAGGTTAGGGAGGCAACCTTTCTGAGTGTAGCACCCCCTGCCCAGGGAATCTGTCTGCCCTCTGCTCCAGGCTCCATTTTGCCGAGTGAAGGCAAAAGTGGAGGAAAGGAAATGTTCAAAGCATCACTATTCACAGTAGCCCAGCTGAAACCAACCACTGTCCATTGTTGGGCGAATGGATGAGCAACGGGGGTTATGTCCATGCAATGGACTGTTATTCAGCTATAAAGAAGAATGAGGGTCTGAAGCATGTATTGCTTTGCAGTGGAGTAAACCCACCCAACTTCCTTCTTATAGGGGCAAATGGGGGTGGTGTTGGTTTTGTGTGCTGTGTTGATTTTGAAGGGAAGGAAGGAAATTTGTTCTGGTAGATGTGGAAAAAGTGGTCCCCCTATCAGTAAATGTGGTTTCTTGTGTCCTTCCCTTCTGGGAAGGTTGGTTGGTTTGCAGGATGTAGAGATGGGGAATTATCAGCCTCATTTCCTAACTTGTCCTTCCCCCAAATTGTGAAAGTGAACACAGTGAGGCCGTGAGCACACGCCCTGACCTTATGGCTTTCTGCCCCATAGAATGAGCTTATCTGTGCTCAACAGCTTGTGTTTTGGGGGGCCCGATGAGTCCCTGCACAAAGGTGGTGGCAGTGTTTTCTGCAGGGGACTCGATGGGCTGGGCAGACGGGGGAGCCAGAGGCCCCTTCCCCAGGCCCCCTCTCCTGCCCCCTTCCAGGATTTTCATTTCTAGGCAAATAGGGGCCAGCAGGAAGCCCGCGGAGTGTCAGCTGAACCACAGGCGGCTTCCTGGGTGCCCCCTCCCCATGGGAGCGGCTGTCCTCCCCTGCGTGAGAGCTGATGAGCAGTCCCATTTTCTGGTCTTCCTCGTGTCCTTGGGATCTTGGTTTTCTTTCCCAGATGAGATTCGTTCTGTCGGTTCCCCACCCCCTGCCCGTCATGGGCCGCGTGATGCCTGCTGACAGCTTCAGCGGGGAAGGGATGGCACTATTTCCCACCATGCCTGTGGCTAACCTGCAGGGGCCATTTCTTTGGGTGCTTGCTCTCACTTTCTGTTGGTTTCCGTAAATGCTAAGAGCCTGTTTTTAAGGTTTCTGAGGGGAGGCAAAAGCCTTTTTTCCATACCACGAAAGCATCCATGGGAAGCCTCTTGGACTGCCTTCTCTGCCCATCTGGGCGGGGATGTTCTTCCCGCAGTGGTTTTGTGCATCCCTTTTGCTGTCCTGTTGTTTTTGTAGCTGTTGTTCCAAGCCCTGCTCACATCCATGACAGTGGCCCTGCCCCTCTCACAGCAGGGCCTTGGGGAGGCCACAGGTGGTCACTGCTGAGTGAGAGGCAAACTGGGCTGGAGAAGACCTCCAAGAATGTGAAAAATGCAGACACTAGGCCTCAGAGGAAGAGGGGGGTCTGCAGGAACCCCGTGGGAGTCTCGAGGGCCCAGGCAAGGGCTCACTGCCCATCATTTCTGCTCTATTTCCACAGTCAAAGAGGGCAAAGAAACCACTAACACAGGCCTTTGGAGCCTGTCTGCCGCATCTCTCTGGGGCCTGCACCACACACCTTGCCTCTCATCTACCCCCAGATAAATCTCAGTGTGGCTAGTAGATGAGTCACCTTTAACACTTAACCAGAAGGTCTATGGACCAGACGGCACCAACATCTAATGCAACAGCCGGGGTGGCTGAGATGCTTGTTGCCTCTCCGCGTAATGGCATAACCATTCTGCGAGCCAGCAGCAGTTGGTGATCTTATTCTGAGGTTTGCAAAGCAGAGAAAGCAAAAAAAATCGGGGAGAAGGAAACCCCCTTATTTGTTGGTTCCTATCCAAGGGAGCCACGTCGCTCCTTTTGTTCCAAGGTTAAGATTTCTCTTTCTGTTACTCTAACCCAAGTCGTGGGAAAGACAAAAGAGTAAGAAGCACTTAAAAGCCAAGTTTCTCTCCTCTTTGCAGACCGGAAAGGAAGCGGAGAGATGTCATGCAGGTTGCCAACACCACCATGTCCAGCAGAAACAGGAACACCACAGTGGCAGACACTTACAATATCACCGACCCAGAAGAGCTTGAGACAGAATACCCTTTCTTTGAGAGCAGAGTGGACAACAAGGAGAGAACTGTCATTTCTAACCTCCGGCCCTTTACTTTGTACCGCATTGATATCCACAGCTGTAACCATGAGGCTGAGAAGTTGGGCTGCAGCGCCTCCAACTTTGTCTTTGCAAGAACCATGCCCGCAGGTATGGTATGATCCAGCTACCCCACTCCCAACTCACTTGCAGCCTAGTGAAGAGTTTGTTTTATGGGCAAAGAGTCTGACACCCAGGGCATTGACCCCTAGTCTCAGGGCTGCTTATCAAAGAGTGGGTAGCATGGTAGACCATTTGCAGGCAGCATGGTAGACCAGCAGCCCAGGGAAGGGAACCCATTCATAGCAATGTTATTTCCCTCCCAGCCTCTCTATGCAGAGACTCAAGAGCAGAAGGTTCACTGCAGGGCCAACTCTCCTGCCTGGTTCCCAATTCCCATAGCCCTTTTTCCCCATTTGTGCACAGGTAAATCTGCCCCATCCCTTCTGAGTTCTCATGGATTCAGTGAAATCCCCAGTTAGGTGCCTTGATCCAGAGTGACCAGCACTCCTCCAGGTCCACCCCTCTGGTCCTGTTTGTTTGGGCTTCACCTTCCCCTTGTGGGTCAGAAGTTGCCTGTCACTCAGCCAACCATCTCTAAGGATGGGTGAACGGGCCAGTTCTCTGTTCCGCTGGAGGCAACAGGTAGTAGAAAGAACATGGAAGTGCTGGGAGCCTAGGAGTGGGGCCTCCTGGCCCAGTTCTGGTGCCACTATGCAGCTGTCATCCTCGGGGCCTCAGTGTCCTCATCGTCCCAGGAGAGACAGACCAGCTGATTTCTCAGAGCTTTTCCCAGCTGTAACTCATGGTGGCTTTTGCTCACCACTTGGCTCACTGCTTTAAGAACCGAGAGCAAGAGAACAAGCCCAGCCTCTGCCAGCAGCTGGAAGAACAGAGGATGGTGGCAGTGAGAGCTTGCCCTCAGCACCAGCGTCTTACTCAGCAGCTTCCTCACAGCCCAGGCTTTTAGATCAGCCTCCATGCCTGCATAGAAGTTGCATTTGCCACGTGCAGACACAGACTTCGCAGCACCACTTCCTGGCCTGGAGGCTTGATGCTACTGCTTCTGCTCACTCAGCCCTGTTGCGATGCTGTTTGTGTTTGATGGCATTTGATAGTTTCTTGTTTTCAAGTGGTAGAGCTAAAATACCAGAAATACGTTATTCAAGTTGCCAAGATTTTCCTACTGTGCTTGACAGCAGGGTTTTTTTTAAGGGGGTCAGAGGGAAGGGGTGGGAGGGGTGGGTAGAGTGGCATATTGAGACTTGCAGGCCCCTAGGTTGCCCCCATCCTAAAACCTTTGCTGTGTGACCAGCCAGCCGTGAGGAGTTTCCCTGGGCAGTGTCCTCAGGCCTGTGCTTGTGGATGGGGGGCGGGGGTATTCTTAGGTCACCCCGGGTTTGTGTCCCACCACCTGGGGACCCAGATCCAACTTTATCACTTGTTTACACTGTTGCACAGAAGGAGCAGATGACATTCCTGGGCCGGTGACCTGGGAGCCGAGGCCAGAAAACTCCATCTTTTTAAAGTGGCCGGAGCCTGAGAATCCCAATGGATTGATTCTAATGTATGAAATAAAATATGGATCCCAAGTTGAGGTAAGCCTGGCACAGGGGTGTGTGTCTGGGTGTGTTCCCATTACAGTTGATAGCATGTGTTACAACACAGTGCAGGTTGCCTCCTGGTTAGCCAAAAACTTAAAACAGGAAAATAAGGTGGTTAGGTAGTGAGAATTTAGGTCTTTTTACCAGTTGCAGGCTCTTGGAGTAGCACCTGAAGTCTGCAAGGAGCTGGGCTTGTTCTCACCCTAAGAAACTTCTGTTGCGGAAACAATCTGTTGGCATAGACTAGATTGGTCTTAAAAATGTCAAATCTTTCTGGAGCTCTTTTTGGTTACAAAAATAATGTTTGGTGAAAACTTGGTTTACGTGAGGGCTACCATTCAACACTTGGTTTCTTCGCTGTTACTGCAGATTGTGGTCCCTGTTAGATGGGAGGTGAGAGACTGAGCAGCGGGAATCACCTGTTTCTCACGTTTGTGGAAAATTGACACATGTGTTTTATTTCCCCAGGATCAGCGGGAATGTGTGTCCAGACAGGAGTACAGAAAGTATGGAGGGGCCAAGCTTAACCGGCTCAACCCAGGGAACTATACGGCCCGGATCCAGGCCACCTCTCTCTCTGGGAATGGGTCATGGACAGATCCCGTGTTCTTCTATGTCCCGGCCAAAAGTAAGGCTTGTGGGGGGAGTAGAAGCTTCAGGCTTTTCCTGAAAGCTGAAAGCGCACTGGGCTGAGATTGGTGACGCTTACCTTTCATCACACGTGTATGATTTTCCACTGGAACAGAATTGGCCGACTTTCAGAGGGGCCATGCTTTTGCCAGCACCTTATCTGGGAGCTCAGCCTAGGGAGCTGCCTGCTGTGCCTGGAGTCCTGTCCCCCTCATCTGATGGGCAGGGAAAGGGTCTGAGCCCCTCTTTTTCAAGGGAGTCAGCAAGAGGCCTTTGCTCTCAACTTGGTTATGTCCAAAGCACTTTGGAAAGCTCTGAGTTGACCATTCCACCTCCTGCCTTCTCAGGGATGCTGGTGAGGGCTCTGACTCAGGGCTTAGAATCCTAAGGGGCAGCAGAAGCCTGGAGGCCATCTGATCCAGCCTGCCCCAGGGCAGGGGTCTCCGTTACAGCATCCCAGGCTGAGACACTGTTCCCTTTGCCACCTGTTTCACTTTTAAAGCACCAACATGCATTGAAAGCACACAGTGCTCACCCTTGGGCACAGAGACCCGGGCAAGCTGTGAGTTTATGCTCAAACCACTGACAAGACAGAATTCTTAGAAGGCCTTTCTGTGCAAGGATTTCAGATTTTTCAAACCGCATTTTGTAAAATGTGAAAGCACAATCAGGGCCCTATGGTTGCTTGGCAAAGAAAATTCAGTACTTTCTTTGGTGACATAACTATTCCTTTATTATTTCCATATTGAGTTTTTATTAGTTCTTAATAGAAACCCAATTTCTTAGATTACTTTATGTTGAGATAATAGGATAAATTGGGCATCACACTATTCCTTACTGCTCCCACAAGAAACAGTAGCCCCACCTTGCTCAGCGGTGCAATGCTGGGGTCCAGTGGGTAGTCCCCACTGCCCTGGTTCGCCCTGGTGTCCATCCACATCTGTGCCTCTCTGATCCAGAGTCTGAATTCTTAAATTCAGGATTCAACTGGTCCAGCAGACCATCTGGTTAGGCATTTTTCCTTATGCTTAATAGTCAAAGATATGCCTGGCCTTTAAAAATCCTAATAGTGACTGATATCCAAGGAAAAATAGGGATGAATAGAATTGCAGACCTTGAAGCAGCATTCTGAGCCTGGCACTGGGCCAGATTTCAAGTTTTAGGGCTAAACAGATACTTAGGCAGATACGTCTGTCAACTAATATAGTCTGAATTCTCCGTGTGGGCCACTTATAACCTATTCACAGCAGTTAGTCTGGGCCACCCATCGCAGTGCTCGAACCTCCACAGTATTTCTAGAATCCTCTCCAGAGTAATGGCTCTCTCTGCTCCCCTCTCCTTTCTTCTCTGCACCCATCCTTTAGGAACAGAGCCTAGGTTTAGGGTCTGGCAGCGAGCTGTGGTCTTTGCAACAGCAGCCTTGGCTTCCGGACGGCAGTGAGCTTGGCTTATCTTCAGAGATGACACGTTCCTCTCTGCCATCGCTACCCCAGTTTTAACCCTGTGAGTGCTCAGATGCCAATGGGAAACCCAGGGACCCCTCTGATGGCATCTTTCCAGCAGAAGTTGGCATATACTGCAGGGAAATTAAATCTGCATGCCTGCTTTGCTGTCGGGAAGTTTTCCTTATGTCAGAAAAGACTCTCTCCTGCTACAGTTTAGTCTCATTTCCTCTTGTTTAATCCTCGGAGGAGATGGAAGCCTTGGAAGCTTTCTGGCAGCTGCTCTCCTTTTACAAACCCTTCATGTGCTTGAATACTTTTAAATGACTCTTCAGACTTTTCTGCCCCAGACTAAATAATGTGAGGTCTTTCAGCTTTTTCTTGTAGCCCAGTCTCATAGACCACTTTTCTAGCCATTTAATCATTTTGTTCTTCTCTGGATGTGTTCCAGTTTCTCCATGTTCTCGTCGAAATGTGAAACTCGAAAAGAACACGGTACAACCTGACCAGTAGTATAAGTGATACAAATATAAGAAATAGTCCTCAGCGGGGAAAAATAAAAACTCTACTGGCTTCCCAAAGGCAGTGATAACTTGCAAGTATTTTCAAGAATTAGAAAATGCCAGGTGCCTGCAAATATTTTGAGAACTATTGGATACAAACATCTTTAAAAAATTAAAATAGCATTAACAGGACTTGAAAAATGACAGTTTTTCAGTGGCAAAGTAATCATTGGTGGGTGACTTATAGTAGATATAACTTGGTCACCCATGAGTTCCAACCTCATTACCAGATAGCTTTCTGTTCTTGGGTTTCCCACGGACACCAGACACTCCTCCCGCACAAAGCCAGAGTCGTGGATACTGCCCTCTGCGTGCGTATCTGTCCATCTTTGTTCCTGAGCTCAGTCAGCGGCCCCATAATCCTCACACCACCCACACCAGGAGCCTCACAGCCATTCCTTACTCTTCCTTCTTTTCAGCTGCCCATTTTTCACTTTTCATTTCAAATGCAAGCTTCATTAACTCTGCCTCTTAAACCTTTCTGGAATCCAGCCCCCTGACCACCACCACCGCCTCAGCTCAGAGCCTCCAGGTGCTCGCTTCAGGGGGAGGGCTCGGCTGTGGGTACAGGGAGCCTGGGCTCCAATCCCAGGGCCAGCTTTTGACCCCAGGGAGGACAGTCCACTTCTGTGAATCTTCCTCATAGAAAGGAGCAGAGACCCCTTCAGGAGGTCTGAACTGGGTAACACCGAGCACTCCAGGGGCCTGCCACCCCATGGCATTCTTTAAGGCGTGGCAGTGCCTCCACCCTGTTGCCCGCCCCCTCCAGGCTGTCCTCAGGCACATCCATCCCACCATACACAAAGCTGATCAGCTCACCACAGGCCTCTTGGGACCCAGCCTTGCTTCCCTCCAGTATCATTCCCACCATTCCTCTGTGCTTGGCAAGGTTTCCCCTGCCTGCTTCTCCCCTCTTCTTCCTTTCCACATCCTTACAATGTGTGCACCCACTTTTCTGGTTGTTATACCACTTATGGGCATACTGGTAGCTCATATCTGGCAGAATTTTCAAGGGTGTAAATCAGAATCCCCAGTGTCCAGCCTGGAGTGTCATGTAAGTGCTGGTGACACGATGAGACGGTGCTGCCGTAAGCTCTGTGGCCTCAGCCTTGTAACTCACTCACATGTTTGGGGAGAATTCAGAGCAACTTTGGCAAGAGGTGCCGTCCTGCCATTTTTTGTTTTGTTTTTTTAATTGTCCATGGGGGTGTCTTAAGGTGGGTGAGGGTCAGTGTGGCTTGAGCCTCACTGTATCTGTAAGAATCCCTACTCATTCTATTTTAGCAAATGTACGCATTTCCATGAACAGTCATTAAACTGCATACTAAGATTATTACACTTGGCCCATCATTTCAGAATGCACCATATTTTGAGAATAAAAATGAATATACTCCTCTGCCTGCACTTATTTAATCTTTTGAGGGGATTTTTTGCTGTATATGTGATACTGTTTACATTCAGAATTCCTAGTCCCAATAGGGGCAGTAAAGGAATTCTCAGGTATTTCCTTTTCTCTACTTCCAGCTAAATATAAGGAAATGAAAGAAGCAGCCTCTTCACTTAGCTACATTTTACCATTTCCCCCTTGTTTCTGCAGTAACATATGAAAATTTCATCCATCTGATCATTGCTCTGCCGGTTGCCGTCCTGTTCATAGTAGGAGGGTTGGTTATAATGTGCGTCTTCCACAGAAAAAGGTGAGTGACTTGGTAAAAAGTGCAGAGGCTTTTTGTGGCTAAGTGGTTTTACGATTTGAACCCAAGTTAAGGTAAACATTTTTGAAGACTTTGAGGAAATACCTTAAGGATTGAAAAACCTGATTTTCCAGTCCAATGTTCTTCAGAGGGAAAAAAGACCCTTTTCTAATGATTCAGCTGCAACAACAAATATTTTTTGGACAGTATGGATCTTCCCTCACTGCTTGCTCCATCCCACAGATATGGCTGCTTTTCCAAGCTTGATGTCTTAGCCCCCTCTATCAAATAAGCCTTTCAATTTCCAGTGAAGTAGAGAAGTAAATGTTTCTTGAAAAACTCTCATCTGAGGCCACTGAAGAAGCCAAAAGATGCCTTAGTAAATGTCTGCTGATGGCATACGTGAGCCTGAATCGGGGGTATAGGTGACAGTGGTCATAGCAGTAAGCTTCATCCTGACACTTAATGACACAAAATAAAGCCAGTGTAACAAAGATAAAAGTATATACAGAAATGTGTGGAGATTTTCTTTTTTAACCAAAGTTTTATCCTTTTTGACAGAAATAGCAGCAGGCTGGGGAATGGAGTGCTGTACGCTTCTGTGAACCCGGAGTACTTCAGCGCGGCCGATGGTAAGCTCCAGTTTATAAGCTATGTTCACTACCTGGCGCAGGAGGGTCGCAGATCCAGGAGTGTGTTTTTCAGGAGCGTTGCAAGGGAACATGGCTTGCATTATTTTGAGGTACCTTTGGTCTTGGATCTTTCTTTATTAACACTTTTTTTTCCAAGTTTTGAGCAGTTTCACTAGATATGTCAAAAATTCTGGGACTATATGGGATGCCTCAAGGGAAAACAGGTTTCAGAGACGAGTGTGGCCAGCACCATAATCAGTTTATTTAATTGCTTGGCATTTTATGCTAGAATGAAAAAAACTGCATAATTGTTGACATCTAGTTGGGCACTATGCTACAGCTGACACAACAGTTCTTTTAAACTAGTTTCAGCTTGAGTTTCATATCCTGGTAATTGTCTTTGGTCACTTATGGCTTCTCTGTATTTTTTTTACCTTGGAGTTTTTCTGTTCATTCTGTCTTGCCTTCGGTCATGCACCTTAGATCCCTATGGCCCATTCACATCCCCTTTGGTAAGAGGGCCATTTATTTAGTTAAATGGCTGAGAAGGTCTGACTGAGAAGTCAGGTTGTATTCCAGGGTTATTTCTTTTTTTCCTTTTTTGCTGGCTTTCCTTCCTAGTGTGCTTAAACCTAAACCTTGAAAAGTCAGTCAGGGTCGGGCATCAGTCGTCTGGTCCGGCGATACTGGCACTTTGCTGTAGGCTTTTTTGAACGCCACTCTCTCTGATCCCTCTGTTCCTTTAAGGTGGATTTCCTTGTGCCCATCCGTCTGTAGGTGAGAGCTGAGGCTCAGAGGAGAAAGTCGACTATGTCACATAACTAGGCATGCCCTGGCATCTTGTTGACAGCGTGGTGCTGGACTACGTTTAGAAAAGGTGTTTGCCTCTTTCTTGCTTCAGGAAATGTGAGATAAGGAGTCACGATCATGCTAGGTGGTTATCCTGGTCAAATGAGAGGATATAAGAATGTACTTTGATAGTATAAAAGCACTATATAAATTTGTAAAGTTTTACTATGATTTATTTAAGAATTTCTGACTCCATCAGAAGCAGCTTCCTCTGAATGGGAATCAAGTATGGAATAATAAGGACATTATTCCTATTTATATAAAGGTCTCACAGAGTTGTATTTTTAATATACATATAAATGTACACAAACACACACTTACTGTAACTCTTATATACATGTATGTGTATAAGGCATAGAGAACATTCTGGATGGATACATGCCATGTTTAAAAGAGTAGTTAACTTGTGGAAAAGATCTTTTTCTTTAAAAAAAGGCAAAAAGATTTTGTGTTGTTTGTATAAATAATATCTTTGAAAAAACCCAAGTAAGGTAAGGAGTCCTCAAACACTGAATGGAATTTATAAGGGAAATACATGGACATTTCCCCTCTTTGAAAGCGTGGAGTAAGACTATTCCAGAGAACCTGCTCTGCTTTGAAATAAAGCACTTCATGAAGACTGACATTTACAGCTCTGACTATGAAGTGTCCAGGAAGTTTAGAGAGCACATTAATACAGTAATACCAGACTCGAATAGTGATTTGCATTCAAATTCTGTCTTTCCAGAATGCTTTCATAATATGTCTTAATTCTTTAAAAACAAAACAAACAAAAACCAAACTTGTCACACAGGCCAACAGGTAGGAACACTGTCATCTCATTTGAACTTAATTTATTCGGCCCTTTGACAAGCACCTTACAGCAGCTAGTTTCCTCAAGGGGTGACAAAATGACACTGCAGTTCAAAAATGCTTTAAAAAACTTCTTTCTCCAACAGCTAATCTGCATGTCACTGTTCTCCTGAGTACACTGAAAATCCCCTATAGGGAAGTGCTGATAACGTTGTTCACATAAACTGCTGCTGGCTGGCAGGGCTTAGGCGTGCTGGTTAGAGCCAGAACTTTAGGGCTGAATTTAGAGAAAAGGATTGTTGAGTATTGACCTCAGGGAAGTCCCAAGGAATGAATGTGATTGGTTGTAACTCTATGTTTTGTGGTATGCTACATGGTTAATTCTGAATAAAAGCAAGTCTGGATTTTCAGAGATAAATGGATATAGACAGTCTCTCTCTACCTCTTGAGAGGTATTATGAAGAAGAGTCTTTCCCACTGGACTGGTGCATACTTACTCTCCTGAGCAAGCACCGGCCTCCTCGTCAGGGCCGTACACTGGCTAAGCCCTGTGGATGTAGACTTCCTTTGTGCAATTCCTGATCATGTATGTACTATGAAGTACAAAACTGTATGAAAGAAAACTAAACTGACTATTATAGTCCATATTGCATACTTCTCAGAGGTGTATATTGGTGGTATCTCCTGGGCCTAATTTGTAGACCTCTTTCCTTTAAGACATCACTTCAAGGTAAACACCTGGGACTCAGGACATTGTAATATAGTCATCAGCCGCTGCTTCTCTCACATCCAGCCACAAGCCCAGGGTTAACATCTGAAAGCATAAAAGTAAACACAGATGCCAACCTGGTTCCCCTTCCTTCTGTATTTCTGAGCCAGGACCTCCTCCTTCCTACCAGCTAGTGTGTGTGCGGCCTGCTGGGAGCTCCCCACCTGGGCAGGGATGTAGCCACACAACATTGGAAGAATATGACTATTGCTCAAATTTCTTGGGGAGCTTATGGCACACATCAGTTTTATGTTAGTTTTCATCCTCCCCATCGGAGTCGTGGGATGGGGTCCTGTTTTGCTTTCTTTCCTTTCTTACCTCCCTTCTTCCTTTCTCTCTTTCTCTTTCCTTCCTGACTACAATGATTTATTTTCTTAAACCAGGCTGAATCTGACCAGAAGCCTAGGCTCAAGAAGGAATCATATTCAGGCTCAATCATTACCATGTGTCACCTCGAGCCCCTCGCTTCAGTGGCAGGAAGTCCCTGAGCTCAGAGAGCCCAGACAGAGCCCTGGGGAGACCCCTCTGCTTGTCAGCTGTCCCTCCACGCTGGTCACCGCTACTGAATGCCCCTTGGTGCCAGAGCTCAGTTGCTTCTGTTCCTCATTAGATACCCAGGGGTTTTTGGCAAGGCCAGAGACACTTCATCTAGACCAGAGCAATTCTGTGGAAATACAATGCCAGTCCCATATGGAACCTTATATTTTCCACCAGCCACATAAAAAAAGTAAAAAGAAACAGGTGAAGCAAATGTTAATGTTTTATTTTACCCAATATATCCAAAGAATTAGCCATTTTAATATAACCAGTATGGGAATCACTGAACTATTTGCATTATTTTTTGTGCCATGTCTGAAATCCAGTGTGTATTTTATACTTACAGCACATGTCAGAGGGGATTTCTTTCTGGCTCTTATATGCCACTAGTATACTCAAATTATGTAGGAATCCTTAAAGATTTGAAATACCAGTATTTGACCATATAGTTGCCTTAGGGTCTCAGGAATAGTGCCCACGTGCCTCCATGATATGTGGGAAATCTCAGAATGAGCCGCGTCGTCCCCTGACCTTCTCTCCTGCGGGCTTGCGGAAGTGAAGTGGCATTTTGTGTTCTCTGTCACACTTTCCCCAAAAGCCCCTTCTGCCCAGGGGCTCGTTGCCATAGCCGTTTCCCTCCCGGGGTCTCCTTCTCCAGTGTACGTTCCCGACGAGTGGGAGGTGGCCCGGGAGAAGATCACCATGAGCCGCGAGCTGGGGCAGGGCTCCTTTGGGATGGTGTACGAAGGAGTTGCCAAGGGCGTGGTCAAAGACGAGTCCGAAACCAGGGTGGCCATTAAAACGGTGAACGAGGCCGCGAGCATGCGCGAGAGGATCGAGTTCCTCAATGAGGCTTCGGTGATGAAGGAGTTCAACTGTCACCATGTGGTAAGAGAAAAGCCCCGAGGGGCCGAAACCTGGCACAGGGAACCCTTCCCCGAGTCCCGCGCGCCGTGGGCCATGTGCGTGGGTTTGCGTCCCACCCCCATCGCCTCGCTGTGACCGTGGGACCCCTGTGCGCATGGCAGCTCCGGGGGGGTGCAGACCGTGGCGGGGGGAGCCCCCCGGGACGCCAGCGAGGCTCCGCCCCCGTCCCCAGGGCCCAGCAGTAGGGGAGGGGCCGGCGGGGCCGCCTTCCCCCTCTGAGCCCTCCTCTCTGCCCTTCTCCCAGGTGCGGTTGCTGGGCGTGGTGTCCCAGGGCCAGCCGACCCTTGTCATCATGGAACTGATGACGCGGGGGGATCTCAAAAGTTACCTCAGGTCTCTGAGGCCAGAAATGGAGGTCAGTTTTGCTTTCAGCCGACTTCACGTGTTATCTATTCTTTCCTGTATAACTTCCCCCAGGCGATGCTGCGTCTCTAAATGCTTTTCCGCATTGAATGTTTTCTGCTGCATGCGGGGTGATAGGTCCTTCACGGAAGGGTTTCCCTGGCCATGGAGACCTTGGTCTTTTGTGGGAGGCCCTTGCCATTCCCCAAACACCCTTTTAGTTTAACACCCCTGTGCTGCTGTCACTGCATCCCCTCCACCTGCAGTCACCTCCTCCACCGCCATCTCCCCAGTTTCCCCCAACAGACCCGCTGGCTGGGAGGATCCCTCTCCCCCGCTGACCTCTGTCCTAGTGCAGCCTTTCTCTTGTTTGGGTCTCTGGGTGTATCCACACCATTGTGTTCTTCGTTTCATCCCAGCACATCCCCTCCTTCAGGCCCATGTGTCATGCCCTGAAGTCATGCCATGAAAACATGGCAGGCAGTTTTTCAGTATGTCCAAGTTCAGTGCTCGGTTGATTTGACTGCTGTGCCAGGCCCGTTTCCCACCCAGTTCTCTGCACAAGACGTGCTCACCTTCTCACACACAGCCCATGCCTCCAGCCCCACTGTCAGCCCCCTGCTCCATTTCTCAAGCCCTCATCTGTGTTTCAGGATTGATCCTGACTCAGTGTCTTGCTTGCACTTCTGAATGATAATCACCTCAGTTGCACCATCTCTGCTTAGTCTAGTAAAAAGAAAAAAAAAGATAAAAAAACATCTATTTGTGTTACAAGCCTTCAAAGTCTCAATCTGCTGAAGTCCTGTGCAGAATTTCTTAGTCACCCTGGTGTCTCTGCTTCTGTAGCATGAGCCCACAAGTCAGCTTTTTAACACATGGAGGCATGACTTGTAAGTGAGTAATTCTAAGAATAAACTGGTAGATTAATACTAGGAAATAATGCCAACAGCATCTGCCTTTCATGTGGCTGCCTCATTGGGTCCCAGTCCTCCCTGTGCTGCTGATGGTGCCACGTGTTGAGTAAGCTTTGAGCCTGCGTGTGCTCCCTTGATTCTCCCTTTTCTCTACCCTGCTGGAATTTCTGTAGCCTGTCTCTGTTTTAGTTTAATGTTTTCTTCTCTTAATTTGCAACTTAATCATCTCCTAAGTAGTAGTTCCTTTATTTGGCTTGAGCACCTGTCACATGTGGCTTCCTTCAGTCAGGGCAGATGATGTTTGTGGTTCCATGAGGGCCACGAGGCAGCATGGACCAAGGCCACAACCAGGGCGGTTTACGGCCCTCCCAACCCTCTGCTCCACCCAGTGGCAGGGGTCCCCTGCTCCCCTGGACCTTAATGCGCTTCTCCCGACTCACTAAAACACAAACCAGCGTGAAGGAGAACAGCTTCATCAGATAGGTGGCTGGACACATGGCATATATTTCTTACCAGATTCATTCAAGGCACTTCTGCAAAGTAGAAAACACCCACCCCTTTGCCTCCAATTTCAGGCACAAACTAAACACCTAGAATACAACATAGTCTCAGTCCTGGCTCGGCCACTGGCTGTCAGCAGCCCTCTGGAACTGCTTCAGTTCTCTAGGCCTCAGTTAATAAGATTGGATGAGAAGATTCCTGAAGTTTTCTGTTTTGTCCGATTTATACTTACGCTTTCTAACACATGTCAAGTGTAAAAATATGTATGCTTGTCCTGCAGGTTCATTAGTCTACTTAGCATCTTCCCCCCCAAGTTGGGATTTGCTCCTTTACCTTGCTAAATGTGGGTGCTTTTTTAAAGGTGTCTTAAGCAGCTCTAAGCAAATTAAAGATTTCTGTTATCTCAAATTTCTTAAAGAATTGGGAGTGTAGCACCACAAACTGACAAAATGCCAGCATTCTCAATACTTAAAATTGTGTTCCTTTTATTGATTCTGTTCTTCATATTACTTATGAATGACCACTTCCAGTAAACACTATACTTAATACTCTACAATTCAAGTATTATGAGTATAAACTTAACATTTCACCTGTAGATTTCCTAGTGTACCATGCATATCTAAAGCCTTGGAAAGGTTAAAAGGAAATGTTAAGTACTAAGGGGAAAAAAGCTCATCTAAATGAGGCTCTCATGTAAAAGAAAGTGGTGGTTTTGCTTACCCTTGGGGACATCATGTCAGTTCCCAGACAAGTCAGTGATACATATTTAAAAACAGAACAAAAATCACCAGAGACAGTCTTGATAGTCTCTTCAGAATTCAAATGAAAGTTGAGTATAGACAACCAATCTAGAAGTCCCTAGAGAGTTGTTGTGCTGCTTGCTCCTAGAAGCCTGCTTTCAGCAGAAACTAGCACCTCATGGACAAAGCGAGCTTCCTCAGACCACGGACCCTGGCCAGGTACCCTTGGACACTTCCATGCATTGTCCCAACTCATCCCCTCAGCAGCAACCCAGCTTTGATCCCCATGTGGAAGAGCCCAGATGGTCTGGTCCCAAAGCCCACGTGTGCTCTCCCGTGGTCCATGGTGTTTAAGCTGGGAAGGTGACACAGGAGACCTGTCAGAGCAACATGGCTTTGTAGTGTTGTAAGACATGTCTGTAAGCAGGGCAACTGAGGTGAAATCTATTACGCTAGTATAAGCAGAAGGTGGTTTAGCATTAAAATGTTTGCTTTTGTATTTTTTTCTTAGAACGAAGAGATTTGAGCACACATTGCAAATGAAAAATTTTTCTAGACAGATTTATTATTATTTGGGGGCATTTCTCAATCCCAAAGCCAGTATGTTGCCCTCCTCTGCAAAGAGGAAATGTTTATCCATGTTCCTTATCACTGTGATACAGTGGTCATGTTCCAGAATAAGCTTCAGCTGGACTTAAATTAATTGTCAAGTGCTTGTTTTCCTCAGCACCAACAGAAAATAATCCAAGAAATGCACATCATACTGTGAAGAAATTAATCTTGATAAAAAAATTTTTTTGTACTTTGGAAGAAAGTTGAAGAGAAAGAAAAAGATTGAATTAATTTACAACACTGCCTCTGTGGCCAATAAAGCATTTGGTGTCCATTTGGGAAACATACGCTCATTTCCACACAGCCTTTGTGATGTTCTCTCCCTGCTTTTACCTGTACTTTGATTAGAGAAATAAAAGGTGCTTATAAACTTAGAAGAATTTGAGTAACCAAGAATTCTTAATACCAAAAACTGCTAGTTTCTCTTTAAATAGTTTTTGCCCTACCCAAAATAGGAAATTCTGGTCCCAAGTTGTGCTGATTGGTGTTTCTCTCTGCAGCTCTGTGTGATGTGGTCAGGGAGCAAGCACATGATTTTACCACTAAGCAGATGCTCTGGTCTCCATAATAATATGTTCCTTCTGAGCAAGTCCTGATTTCTTAGCAGAATGACCTGTGTTGCTTAGATTGAATGAAGATGGATTGTAAACCCTGAAAGAACATGGGGTGGAGGAAGTGCCTAAATGTTCATGTGAATTTCGTTTTTACTCTCCAACAGAATAACCCAATCCTAGCACCTCCAAGCCTGAGCAAGATGATCCAGATGGCTGGAGAGATTGCAGATGGCATGGCATACCTCAACGCCAACAAGTTTGTCCACAGAGACCTCGCTGCCCGGAACTGCATGGTAGCCGAAGATTTCACAGTCAAAATTGGAGGTGTGTCCTTAGCTTTCTGGATCTGAGCAAGAACTAAACTCACGCGTTTTAGGGACTGAGTCCGCCTCAGTGAAGAGGTTTCCCAACATGCGCCATGAGTGCAAAGGCTTGTTCTTAGAAAGAATGTGATTGTCGCCAGTTGATAGTCAATCAGAGCCCTGGCCAGGCTGGGTATGGCGGTCCAGGTAGTGGCAAAGATGAGTTGAGGCCATGGTCCCCAAGGTTACCTCTCCTGGTGTTTGAGATGTTGGTTGGCAGAACCATTCTAAGCATTTACAGAAAAAAATTGAAACTGTCCTCAGATGATTTTGATTTGGGCATAAAAGTTGCCATCCAAATTACCAACATTTCCTCCAGTTTTCCTGGCTTACAAGGAGTGTTGTCTCTCCCTGATGCCATGAAAACATGGCAGGCAGTTTTTCAGTATGTCCAAGTTCAGTGCTCGGTTGATTTGACTGCTGTGCCAGGCCCGTTTCCCACCCAGTTCTCTGCACAAGACGTGCTCACCTTCTCACACACAGCCCATGCCTCCAGCCCCACTGTCAGCCCCCTGCTCCATTTCTCAAGCCCTCATCTGTGTTTCAGGATTGATCCTGACTCAGTGTCTTGCTTGCACTTCTGAATGATAATCACCTCAGTTGCACCATCTCTGCTTAGTCTAGTAAAAAGAAAAAAAAAGATAAAAAAACATCTATTTGTGTTACAAGCCTTCAAAGTCTCAATCTGCTGAAGTCCTGTGCAGAATTTCTTAGTCACCCTGGTGTCTCTGCTTCTGTAGCATGAGCCCACAAGTCAGCTTTTTAACACATGGAGGCATGACTTTTAAGTGAGTAATTCTAAGAATAAACTGGTAGATTAATACTAGGAAATAATGCCAACAGCATCTGCCTTTCATGTGGCTGCCTCATTGGGTCCCAGTCCTCCCTGTGCTGCTGATGGTGCCACGTGTTGAGTAAGCTTTGAGCCTGCGTGTGCTCCCTTGATTCTCCCTTTTCTCTACCCTGCTGGAATTTCTGTAGCCTGTCTCTGTTTTAGTTTAATGTTTTCTTCTCTTAATTTGCAACTTAATCATCTCCTAAGTAGTAGTTCCTTTATTTGGCTTGAGCACCTGTCACATGTGGCTTCCTTCAGTCAGGGCAGATGATGTTTGTGGTTCCATGAGGGCCACGAGGCAGCATGGACCAAGGCCACAACCAGGGCGGTTTACGGCCCTCCCAACCCTCTGCTCCACCCAGTGGCAGGGGTCCCCTGCTCCCCTGGACCTTAATGCGCTTCTCCCGACTCACTAAAACACAAACCAGCGTGAAGGAGAACAGCTTCATCAGATAGGTGGCTGGACACATGGCATATATTTCTTACCAGATTCATTCAAGGCACTTCTGCAAAGTAGAAAACACCCACCCCCTTGCCTCCAATTTCAGGCACAAACTAAACACCTAGAATACAACATAGTCTCAGTCCTGGCTCGGCCACTGGCTGTCAGCAGCCCTCTGGAACTGCTTCAGTTCTCTAGGCCTCAGTTAATAAGATTGGATGAGAAGATTCCTGAAGTTTTCTGTTTTGTCCGATTTATACTTACGCTTTCTAACACATGTCAAGTGTAAAAATATGTATGCTTGTCCTGCAGGTTCATTATAGTCTACTTAGCATCTTCCCCCCCAAGTTGGGATTTGCTCCTTTACCTTGCTAAATGTGGGTGCTTTTTTAAAGGTGTCTTAAGCAGCTCTAAGCAAATTAAAGATTTCTGTTATCTCAAATTTCTTAAAGAATTGGGAGTGTAGCACCACAAACTGACAAAATGCCAGCATTCTCAATACTTAAAATTGTGTTCCTTTTATTGATTCTGTTCTTCATATTACTTATGAATGACCACTTCCAGTAAACACTATACTTAATACTCTACAATTCAAGTATTATGAGTATAAACTTAACATTTCACCTGTAGATTTCCTAGTGTACCATGCATATCTAAAGCCTTGGAAAGGTTAAAAGGAAATGTTAGGTACTAAGGGGAAAAAAGCTCATCTAAATGAGGCTCTCATGTAAAAGAAAGTGGTGGTTTTGCTTACCCTTGGGGACATCATGTCAGTTCCCAGACAAGTCAGTGATACATATTTAAAAACAGAACAAAAATCACCAGAGACAGTCTTGATAGTCTCTTCAGAATTCAAATGAAAGTTGAGTATAGACAACCAATCTAGAAGTCCCTAGAGAGTTGTTGTGCTGCTTGCTCCTAGAAGCCTGCTTTCAGCAGAAACTAGCACCTCATGGACAAAGCGAGCTTCCTCAGACCACGGACCCTGGCCAGGTACCCTTGGACACTTCCATGCATTGTCCCAACTCATCCCCTCAGCAGCAACCCAGCTTTGATCCCCATGTGGAAGAGCCCAGATGGTCTGGTCCCAAAGCCCACGTGTGCTCTCCCGTGGTCCATGGTGTTTAAGCTGGGAAGGTGACACAGGAGACCTGTCAGAGCAACATGGCTTTGTAGTGTTGTAAGACATGTCTGTAAGCAGGGCAACTGAGGTGAAATCTATTACGCTAGTATAAGCAGAAGGTGGTTTAGCATTAAAATGTTTGCTTTTGTATTTTTTTCTTAGAACGAAGAGATTTGAGCACACATTGCAAATGAAAAATTTTTCTAGACAGATTTATTATTATTTGGGGGCATTTCTCAATCCCAAAGCCAGTATGTTGCCCTCCTCTGCAAAGAGGAAATGTTTATCCATGTTCCTTATCACTGTGATACAGTGGTCATGTTCCAGAATAAGCTTCAGCTGGACTTAAATTAATTGTCAAGTGCTTGTTTTCCTCAGCACCAACAGAAAATAATCCAAGAAATGCACATCATACTGTGAAGAAATTAATCTTGATAAAAAAATTTTTTTGTACTTTGGAAGAAAGTTGAAGAGAAAGAAAAAGATTGAATTAATTTACAACACTGCCTCTGTGGCCAATAAAGCATTTGGTGTCCATTTGGGAAACATACGCTCATTTCCACACAGCCTTTGTGATGTTCTCTCCCTGCTTTTACCTGTACTTTGATTAGAGAAATAAAAGGTGCTTATAAACTTAGAAGAATTTGAGTAACCAAGAATTCTTAATACCAAAAACTGCTAGTTTCTCTTTAAATAGTTTTTGCCCTACCCAAAATAGGAAATTCTGGTCCCAAGTTGTGCTGATTGGTGTTTCTCTCTGCAGCTCTGTGTGATGTGGTCAGGGAGCAAGCACATGATTTTACCACTAAGCAGATGCTCTGGTCTCCATAATAATATGTTCCTTCTGAGCAAGTCCTGATTTCTTAGCAGAATGACCTGTGTTGCTTAGATTGAATGAAGATGGATTGTAAACTCTGAAAGAACATGGGGTGGAACAAGTGCCTAAATGTTCATGTGAATTTCGTTTTTACTCTCCAACAGAATAACCCAATCCTAGCACCTCCAAGCCTGAGCAAGATGATCCAGATGGCTGGAGAGATTGCAGATGGCATGGCATACCTCAACGCCAACAAGTTTGTCCACAGAGACCTCGCTGCCCGGAACTGCATGGTAGCCGAAGATTTCACAGTCAAAATTGGAGGTGTGTCCTTAGCTTTCTGGATCTGAGCAAGAACTAAACTCACGCGTTTTAGGGACTGAGTCCGCCTCAGTGAAGAGGTTTCCCAACATGCGCCATGAGTGCAAAGGCTTGTTCTTAGAAAGAATGTGATTGTCGCCAGTTGATAGTCAATCAGAGCCCTGGCCAGGCTGGGTATGGCGGTCCAGGTAGTGGCAAAGATGAGTTGAGGCCATGGTCCCCAAGGTTACCTCTCCTGGTGTTTGAGATGTTGGTTGGCAGAACCGTTCTAAGCATTTACAGAAAAAAATTGAAACTGTCCTCAGATGATTTTGATTTGGGCATAAAAGTTGCCATCCAAATTACCAACATTTCCTCCAGTTTTCCTGGCTTACAAGGAGTGTTGTCTCTCCCTGGGGTCCATGGAGTTTTCTGAGAGGTGAGGTTCTCTAATGGTGAAGCCCTTTCACAGAGGGGGAGCAGTGACGGAGAGGTGGCAGTCTTTCAGGGAGGGAGGATTACTGCTTACTGGGGGTCACACTCAGGCTGGTGAGCCTCGAAGCTCCTGACCCCTCTGTTATAACAGCTGACCGGCCCACTGGGGAGAGCCCTTGCTGACACACCCACTATAACACGAGAAAATGGGGACTGGATTGCATTTCTGATCACTGGTTAGAAATTCATTTCAGCCTTTGGGTTTGCTTTGGTCTTAATCTGCCTGATAAAAACACATACCACCTCAGGGGAAACCACCTGCTTTTACCAGGACCCTTATCTTCCCAAATAATGACTGATCAGAAAAATACCAAATACTTATCCTGAGAAACTACAGTGAAGATGTTACATCCAAAAACTATTTAAAACTGACCACTTTGTGTAGCCCTTGAACTGTCTGTCCTGGATGTGCTAACCTTCTGTTAGCAATATTTGTTTTCTCCAGCAATGATTGTGTATGAAATGGCTTGGCCCCTTAGGTGGGTGAGTAATGAGTATGCCCTCTAGAAGGGTTTCCAAATTAGGGGTGGATGTCTTTATTTTTCACTTGTAGGAGCTAGGGGGATAAATAGAGCCATATCACAGAGCATGCTTCACTCGGTCATCAGAGTTACTCATTCAGGAGGCACCACTGAGACCACCTGGATTTGGCCCTTTGCGGCATCTACACGTCTGGTGCCCCTTGAAGCCTGAGAGGCTATCCTGTCCCAGGTTCCTGGAGAAGAGCACCCCTGGGCTTTCTTTGTGCACCTGCTCAATTCCCTTTCCTGTCCTATACCCCTTACTTCTCCATGGGGACTGAGATTGTTCCTGTGGAAATGCCAACCAGCATCCCCCTACCCAGCCGTGGGGAGCTGAGCCAGCCCGAGCTGAAACACCAGTTGTGCCAGTAATTGGAATTGACTCAGGTCAAGTGCCTTAAGTTCTGTGAACCTCAGTTTCTCCACCTCTGCAGTGGGGACGATGCTGTAACAGAGCCATGAGATGGTGGGAAGGACCCACTGCAGGAACACATCGGGCGCATACCTGGCAGGGCGGGTCCTCGGTAAATGTCAGTGCCTGGGTCCCCAGCACCCCTTCTCACTCCTTCCTGGCACATGGCAGGACCTCCCTTCGTGCTGCTTCCTCCCCTGCTTCACTTTGCTGTAGGAAGCCACCTCTCATTTGAAGTCCAAGTCAGCAAGGACTGTATTTGCTCCGTAACCATTTGGCGTATTGACGTGACATTTTCTTTGTACCTGGACTAATTCTGAGATAAGACTTTAACACTTCACTTTTGTGCTTCACTAGGGGTGAAAAATGTTTTTTCAATGCCTGATATCCCATGGATTACAAATATGACAAGTAATTTTTTT